AAAGTGGGAATTGACAAAATTTTGTGTTGGTGTCAAACTGTAAACATTACTTCCTCCAAAAGAATAATGCACAGTTGAGCTCAATTCACTAATAAATTAAGTATGTTGGCTTGAAAACGCCTTTTAATTTTTTTAGATTTTCCATATAGTTTCTTTAGATTTAGTTAAAATATATGTATATTAGTTCATAAGTCTTTAAAAATAATATTCTTCGGTTAAAACTAGTTTAGTTTCGGTATTATAAAATTAAAGTAAGAATAACTATTTTATATTTTGTTTATATCATATATATATATGTGGATATTATATATTTATATCATATAATATAAAATATCTTATGGTGCCTCCACACGCTTGGCGAACACACAGCAAACAGCTAACACAAGAGTGTGGAGGCCCGATTGTGTTGGTGATTCTGATTGGCGTTGGCACTTTGGTTGTCGTATTTGGCGTTTGTAACAAACAACAAGCGTGTGGAGGCGCCATTAAAATAAGTACTACATGCACATACAAAACATTTATTGATGTAGATATTAAAGACTATTTGCAATCTTATTTTTGGTATTTAGTTTGATTTGCATGGCAGTTGTGGGATTTTGTACCGGCCGCCCGTTCTGAGAAACATCCCGCACACTTTCCAATCTGAATTTATTTGTCCCCTTTATTGAATCATCATCAGACCAATGACAAAAGCTTAAATTTTAGTTAAATTAAAGTAGTCACTGCCAGCGGACTTTAAAAGACTATCGCTATAAACAATTAAAATAATTATTGAATTCACCTTTTGTAGTTATGTTGTTAACTGTTTCTTACGCTATTCTGTTTACATCTTCTAAATGACCGTGTAGATAAGACACAATCCCTAATCTTTTGATTATTTGCTGGCAGTACAATCATAATAAGATTTTGTTTAAAAGGTTATTTCAAGTTTATCAAAAGCATTAATGTATTTTTTTTCTTCAAGTAATTTTCAAAAGTATAGATTATATTTTTAGTAACTAAATTTTTCTGAACTCTTAAACTAAAAAATCGTTATATATTACAATATGTTTTGTTATTGTCTTACCAACACATCAATATATATTTCTACATATACCCATAAATACACCTCAAGTTGTTAATTTACAACCGCATTGTTTTACGTTAAAAAACTTTAAAAATTACAAGTTAGCTGGAAATGATCATTAAAAAGTGAACGATGGTATAAACAATGCATTTTTTCCCTAATTATCAAAATAAATACGGGCTGTTAGTTAAAATAATTACATAATAATTTGCTAATGGAGTAACTTCTGCAAGGATTCACTACATATTGATTTTTAATGACTGGCTTTATGGACATTCACAATAATGTACGAAAAAGTAGCGGGGTGTAGCGATTTTTTTTCTGCTCGATATTGGAACATCCACCTGTTGAATTCATGTTCACCTTAAGCCAGGTCTCAAGCAAAGTTTTTTTAAAACATTCAATAAATACACATAGTTACTTATACAAAACTTCGTTTTTGAAACATTTTTCTCTACACATCCCGTCTACTGCTCACGCAGTTGTCGTACAAAAAATACAAACAGTTCCAAACCTATAATCCTGGTGCGACAAATGTCAAATTTTACAAAAGTTTCATACATTTTGTGTCAAAATTCAAACGTCAGAGTGAAAAGTTGCACTCGGAACGTAGGTTTGGAACGCAGCCCCCTCCAGCGATTGGATAAAAAAATTGGCGATGAAACAATGCCTTGCCCCTCGACTCACGCGGGGGTGATTTGCGTTTGTGTTTTCCATCGGGCTTGGAAAGCAAAAACCTTGTTGATGCAAATAAATATGTGTAGTGAAGCAAAGTTTTGTGTAGACGATTTTGTTGAATGTTAATATGTTTTTGTTGATTGTGTATGGCAAAACACGCGCTGGAGACCCGGCTTAATAGGGGATAGCGAAGTTGAAATTTTAAGAGAGGTAGGACAGCAGATTTTCCTGTCCAATTATAGCATCCGTTTATGTGCCGGTGAGTAAGGTTCCAGGGTTCCACGGAGCAGGGGATTGGTTCAGGATAGATAACGTCACGAGGGATAGGTAAATACGCAATGGTACGGTATATGAAAAAATCTTTTGGTTAGTTAGAAATCCATGGCTACCATGGTTAGGCGATTGGATTCAGACCGGCATGGCTGGAGTGGCACCATTTTCCGTCGCAATAGCTATCATCGTAACCTAACTCCGCTAATTTTCGTGGTATTTGATGCATGGCACGATTTTTTACCACTTTTTATTAAATAATAAGGCAGAAGTAAGGTGTCACTTCTATATAAAGGAAAGGGCAAAATAACTGATTGTAACTCATATAAACTAGTTGCAATAATGCCAGCGATAGCTAAAATTTCTGAGAATAGTTTATGTTCACGGCTAACAACATTCTTAAACGAAACGCAAGCTCTGTCCGGGAGACAGACAGTATGTAATATATGCATATCGACAAAGTCGGTCGACGACATCAGTTACAAAAGAGGTTCATAAGAGAATAAAACCACAACAAAGAAATTTGGTGACTCAATTCTTTGTCGTACTATTCGTAAGTGGAATTCTTTGCTCGCGCACGTGTTCCCTCCTTACTACAATCTGGGGTCCTTTAAGAGAGGCGTGAAGAAGCATTTTTGCAGGCCGGCAAGTCATAGTCTATTAAGTCTTTTCAAAGAACTCTCTACCAGGCTCTATACAATGTTTCTTGTGTTTGAACCAATTTTCAAAACATTTTTTCCAGTCCTCCGCAGACACCTCTTCCACGGCCTTCTCAAACGCTGCTAACGCTTCTTCCGGCGATGAAAACTGTATCCCTTTGAAGTGATTTTTATTTTAGGGAATAAAAATAAGTCACACGGTGCCAAATCAGGACTGTAATTAGGGTGTCCTAAGAGTAACTGGTGTGGAGTCCAGGACGTTCTTCATTTTGATCGCAGAGTGCGCGGCACCTTGTCGGGGTGAAGAAGGCCCCGCGGAGCCCGGTGTTAGGTCGCTTGTTGCTCATTGCAGAAAAAACTTCTGGCAGGCATTTTGTGCTATACCATTCGGCGTTGATGCAGTTTTGGTCTCGAGGCTAGGTTACGTACCCCGTCAAAGTGAAGAAAAGTGAAGAAACTAGCGGTCAAAATTTTCCCTGCGCTCCTCGATCGCTTCACTTTCGTAGGCATTGATTCAATTTGGGGTGCCTCGCCAGAAACCTCCCCGTGTGGTCGGTGGATATCCTGTCCTGTGGCTTAGGCCTAGGGAACGGAAATGTGCTGGTTCGGTGCACTCTGGGCAACTACGTATGAGGTATCCGCAAGGATACCTCATGCGTAGGCTGATAGCTGGCAATCTCGTAACCCCGAGGGCCGCCATCTTTCGGGGTGGGGGCTGCGAGGAAGAAAACCTCTCTAAAAAATCACCCTGGGTGGGGGGCATAGAGTGGCCCCGGTGTCGGAGGGCAGTGCGCTGCCTGAAGGAGCTCGTAACCCTGTACGTAGTGCGGGGCCGAGGGCCGCCGCTTTCTTCGGAGGGTGGGGGCTGCGAGGAAGAAAACCTCTATAAAAATTACCTTGGTGAGTCTCGGCTGGCGTCCCGGGGAGCCTGGGTAACGGTGGTCGAGACTGTTGGAGGGGCGGTAACGCCTGTTTTGGTGAGGGCGGTTGTGGCGCGAACTCCGTGCCACCTCCGGCCGACCCGTAACCCCGCACGCGGTGCGGGAACGGGGGCTGCCACCTTTCGGGGTGGGGGTCAAAAGGAGAAAACCTTTTCAAAAATCAATTTTGATGAGGCCAGGTAGGGTTCCCTCGCCCGGAAGAGGGAAAAAACTATGGTAATGTCGGATATTGAGAATTGTTTGTCATGCTCTCCCTCTGACACCGGGCGCTCTGAGGTAGCTGGGCCTCAGAGTGTGAAATTGACTACTAGCGGCCTATGCGCCCCGGCTGGCCACCGGCGCTGCGGGATTACCGGGTCCCGCAGTGGTAAATTGGTTACCGAGGCGTCTGAAGGAGAAGTTGTCCTGCGACTGAGAGGCGGCGGGGACAAGGAGGATGGGGGGGGGGGGGGGGCTAACACCGATGCCCCCCAAGGTGAATACTGTACGCAGGGGAAAGGGTAAGCGCAGAGCTTCCCCGGTTCCCCTTATCGAGGTCAAGGCAGGGAGACTTCCACCTTCACTTTTCCTCCTCCCAAGGAGCCAGATACCTTCACGGCAGATGAGTTCAGGTCCGCGATCTTCACGCGCCTGGCTTACCTGGACTGGAAGGCGAGAGGTGAAGCACGTGATGGTGACGAAATGCAGATGACGCGCGAGACGAAGAAATTTCTGGAGGCGGCCCTGCGTAAGGTAGAGGCGGCGGATAGGCTAAAAAAGGTAGAAGGCGTGAACCTCCGTCTCCGAGAGGAGAATTTAATGATAAAGGCGGAAATGGCGACCATGCGGAAGGAGCTGGAATCGCTGAGGAGAGCGATGAAGGAGAGAGCCCACCCTGCGGCCCCTCCAACCACACAATTACTACCGCTGGAGGCCGTTGAGGAGCTGAAACGCTCCCTTATGATTTCCATAGGGGAGATGGTCAGCACTCGGCTGGCCGCCTAAAAGGCTCAGACCGCCGTTAGCTGCGGACCGGCGGGAGGCGGGGACATCGATGAGGGCGGAACCGGCGGAACAGTGGAGTACGGTTGTCGGGAGAGGGAGGAGGAAGGCGGGGAGCACAGCCGTCGTTCCCGATCCTACGAAGAAGAAGGGGGAGCCCACGCAGAGCAAGGGTGGACCAGCTCCAAGGAAGACTGAGGGGCCTAAAATAAAGGTCCCGAAAACAGCGGCGGTTGAGGTGAGGTTGAGGCCTAGGGCGGAGGAGCTAGGCCTCACCCACACCAAAATTGTGGAGATGGCGCGGGCGGCTATCGAGCTGCCGTCCGTGGGGATTGAGGAGGGCCTGGTCATCAAAACCAGCCAGACGGGGTCCAGGCTCCTGCTGGTCTCGGGCCCGGATAGCAGAACGAAGGCGGACGCCCTGGCCAGGCGTATGGGCGAGGTCGTGAAGGAGTACGCCGAAGTCGGCAGACCTGAGATAAGCACGGACATGAGGATATCGGGGCTAGATGAGTCCCTCACCCTGGACGAAGTCAGGGAGGCGGTGGCCATGAAGGGGGGCTGCTCCACCCGAGAGGTGACGGTAAGAGAGGTGCGCCCGGGACCAGGAGGCATGTCGTTCGATGTCCCGCATGGGCCGCCAGAAAAGTGGCGGAGGGTGGGAGGATCAAAGTGGGCTGGAGCCTAGCACACGTGAGGGTCCTCAGCCGGCGGACACACTGCTTTCGGTGTATGGGAAGGGGGCACGTGGCGGCAAGGTGCCCGTCTAAGGAGGACCGGAGCACACTGTGCTTTAAGTGTGGGAAAGCGGAGCATAAGGCGACGGAATGCGCTGCCAAGCCCCGCTGCGCCATATGCGCGGAAAGTGGCCGACCGGCGGACCATGTCATGGGGAGGGGGAAGTGTGACCCGCCGGTCACTAAGGGTAAACCCCCCGAAGGAATGGCCTCTGAGTCGTCGGCGCCCGGACGGGTACCCTCAGAGGCGGGGATGTCCGAATAGCCTCGGCCGCTCGGACCCCCCACGAATGCTGTCGCCCGCGTTTCCCCTTTTTGTCCTAGGAGAAGACGCTAGGAGACGTGGGTGAGGGGAGAGTGACGGGAAGAACTACGCTTCCCCTCCCGTTCCCCCCTTCCAGGAACGGCGGCCCCCCTCTTGTAGTTCTGTCCTACAAAGGGGGCGGCGGAGGGTTGCTTGGACGGGAACGCCCAAGAAGCCCTCCGCAGCGGACGGGGGACGGTACGGTGGGCACTAGGCCGCGTACTCAGCCCCCATGCGCGGGCCTACCTGCGCACGTCTGCGGGGTCCCCGTAACGCGGTATTACCCCTGCCGTATTCGCAGGACTTTTTTAGCGGATATTATGCTGTAAAGCGCCCGTAAGAATTGCGGGCTCCTCAGTGGGTAGCCACTGGGGGGTCCGTAACACTTGCGGGAGCCAGGTGTGAGGTCCGTTCGGCGGTGTGCCTCTTAAAGGCGCCGTCGTCTGTAAAAAGATATTTTACCTGCGTTATAAAAAAAAAAAGGCGTTGATTCAATTTGGAAAAAGCCTAACTGTCGACTGACGCTTTGTTTCTGGATCGTATGCATAAATCCAGGATTCCTTTCACAATATCGTAAACGCACCGTGACGAGACTGCATCAAATTTGTGTATATATCACTGCACCAATCCACACGGGGCTGCTTCTGAACTTTGGTGAGGTTGTGCGGCACCCAGCGGGAAACTATCCTTCTTACGCAAAGATGCTCGGGCAAAATCTTGTGAACACCTCCTGAACCAATCTGCAGAGTATGCTGAATGTCCTCGTACGTAATTCGTCTGTTTTCTTGAATATTTTTTTTTACTGCCAGCACACTTTTATTCATCCCCCAAAGTCAGACGACCGCATTTGAACTCGCTTCGTCAGCGGTAGATGGTTGCTTTTGAAGGTCCTTCATCCATAAAAGCAGTTCGAAATCGATCAAATTACTCATCTGGTTTTAAGCCACATTTAAAAACGTAAAAAAATCATAGCACGAAGATGTTCTCAATGCAGATCCATTTTTTAATAAGCCAAAATTTTAAATGGCTCTCAAAATAATGCGGATACTTTTAAATAATCGAAGTTTTCAAAATAATTACAAGTGACCAGTGTCTTATACATAATTTTTTTTTCGCAAAACTGTCTGATTGGCCATGTGGTATTTATGAACAAAACATGGCGTAACCTATGCCTCATTTATTGATATCGGGGATAAGGTTAAAGCAACCAGCCAAATGCTAACAGACATATGACAAGAAACTGGAGTACTTAACAAGAGACAAATCCGTACCGTAATGGTTGTTGTAGGTGACCGTACCGTAATGGTTGTTGTAGGTGAAAATTGTAACAAAAACTTGCAATGCAATTTACATAAAAAAAGTTGAAACAAAATTGACGCATAGAGATAGATAGAGATAGAGGGATTTTTAGTTTGTTAGATTCTTCAAAAGAAATAATTACCGCCAACGAAGTCACGGGCATCTACTAGTATTATTAATGGAGTGCGTTATATCCTTTCCTAAGTTCTTTCCTGGGATTCACACCATGTATTTACTTTTAATTTAAACGCTTCGGCGGTGTGGTAACAAACAAACAGACATAGACATTTCTGCATTTATAATCTAAATTATATAACTGTACTCGGCTTTACGTGCGTTAATTTGAGGAAAAAATCTAATAATAAAACATATTCCATACCATCACAAATAATACATCATTAAAAAATAGATTACCATAAAAAGGACATATACCCACCCCCTCAATGATATAAAGAATAAGCTTAGATTAGTTACTCCATGTTTAGTCTCTATTCATTGCATTACATATCGCATTTGAGTAATATGAACAAAACACGGTGTAACTAGTGTAAGCTTATTTGGAACAGACTGTATGCCGGACTTTTATTTAAGAACTTTTAGAGAGGTAAAATTTTTCATAAATGATTTGTGCGTAACTTACAACTTTCGAAAAGCTTATTTTTCTGCTCGTATTGTTTGTAGCGTGATGTGATACAGTCTTCAGTTTTCCCAATAAATGAACTAATCGCCCAAATTAGTATAAAATCAAAATTGAGAAGTTATAGTTGATTTAATTAACATACATCAAACCTTTAAACATTACACGCTTTTCTGGCAGTGGTGTAGAAACATTTAAAAAAAGTATCACAAAATTCAAATCGTTCCTATTGGTTAATATTACCTGTTTTTTTGTCTGTAGTAGTGAAGGAATTTTCGATTTGTTAATCGATTTGTTTAGTTTCTTGTTTTGAAAGGGCTTATTTTTATTGGTACGTGCAGTTCACTAGTTATATATTAAAATAGAGAGTATAAATGACATAGATGGATGGTTTTGGCACTATTTTGTATTTAGCATTTGTAGACGACAGTTATTTCAATAATGTCTCTTGGAAACGGTAACGATGTTTATTTGGAAAATAAAGAGGGACAATGGTTTCAAAGTGTGAGTGGCGCGCAGGTTGAACAGCATGTAAGTTTAAGATAATATTAACTAATTTAAATAGTTTTTTTGCAAATGTATTATTTTGACAATTTTTTATAGACACACTGCAAATATTATTTTGAAAATGTTTTTCCTTCACTCCTATTTAAAATGCTCCTATTTTACTTATAAATATAAATAACACCTTGACTTACAAAATATAAGTTATTCTATAGTGAACTGTTCATTTTATTATATATGTTTTCAAAATTATGCATTTTATCTTAACAATTTTTTTTCACTAAAATAGCATTTTTACATACTGTAGTTATTAACAGTAATTTCTTTGTCCTAACAGCCTTAGTGCAGCGAATTGGTGGGGCTACCGGTACTCAACTATCAGTATGAGTACCATCGGGATGGCGCTGCAGGAATGGCAGCCAACAGCGGTGCAATATCTCCTTCTTACAACGTCCTGGCTCCAAACGACATAACGGCTCCGATTGACGTCCCGGCTCCGTATGACATCCCGGCTCCTTATGACGTCCCGGCTCCTTATGACGTCCCGGCTCCTTACGACTTCCCGGCTCCTTACGACGTCCCGGCTCTACCTGAAAATCCGGCTACTTACAACATACCTTACGTGCCTCCGTCTTACAACGTTATGGCTTCATCCTACAATATGCAGCCGCCACAGCAAGTTGTTTTACCGCAAGGAGGGCACAATTTCATCAAACACGATGCACGGTGTTGTAACTACGGTGGGCAGCCTGTGTACGTCAAGAATTCTACCACCAAAAAGACAAAGCGACACAGGACTGCCTTCACCACCAACCAAATTACAGCGCTGGAGAATGAATTCGCACAGACGCGGTATGTAGACCGCACTCGGCGTTTGGAACTGGCCAATATGCTGGGCATGCCCGATCGCGCTATCAAAGTCTGGTTCCAAAACCGGCGGATGAAAGACAAAAAGGAGAGGATGGGAAGCCCAGAATGTTTTTGTAATAAATGACTCTAAAGTGATCCTATTAAGAAATATGTTTAAGTTAATTAAAATAAATCTAAAATACCTATTTTACATTTTGTTTTTGTTCTCAACCTAAGTTTTTTTCACAAAGACTTTTAACAACAGGTATTTGGGAGTTTGAGAGACATAATCTTACTCATGATGTCATTTTTAGTTTTTTTTTTCTATTTATTTAGGTAAACAAAAAATTACAAATTAAATACATAAAATATCTGTATTGGTAATGAGATATATATATTTTAATCCAGCACCGTATACCGAAATTTCCATCAAACAGCGTTGAGTGTATTAATATTAACAACGCAACTGACAAGGTGTGTTACAATATAACTAGAAAAAAATCCAGGCAACAGACGGGACTTGAACCCGCGACCTTCGCTATCCAGGCGATTGCACTGACCAATTATGCTACTGCGGCCCTGATGGCCGCGTCGAAATTCTTCTAGCCATTCTTAAGCTGCAAGGCAGCGCCACCTCTTCGCATTGTAGGTAACCTACTATTTCAAATGAATACTTTTACAAATATAAAACATTTGAAAGAAGATAAAGCAATTATAGTTATAATTTTTATTTTTTAAGCATGTAACTGCTTGATGTTTAAATCTAAAGAAAATATAACTAGAAAAAATTCCACGCAGACCAGACAGCAAACGGGACTCGAACCCGCACCCTTCGCTATCCGGGCGAATGCACTGACCAATTATTCTACCGCGGCCCTGATGGCGGTGTCGAAATTCTTCTTGCCATTCTTAAGCTGCAAGGCAGCGCCACCTCTTCGCATTGTAGGTAACCCACAATGTCAAATGAATACTTTTAAAAGTATTAAACATATGAAAGAAGAAATAGCAATTATAGTTATATTTTTTTAGCATGTAACTGCTTGATCTTTAAATCTAAAGAGTTAGCCTAAAATTCGTTACCCATCTCGCCACAAATCCATATTTAAATCCCAAATAATATTGTTCTCTAAATATACGAACTCGTACCACATTTTTGCCTCTTCACTGGCCACTATAGAAACTGAAGTTTTCCCTTTGTTTGTGTTTGTAATAATGGAAACGGGGTTCCGTTTCCATTATTACAAACATTATTACACTGAACATCCAACATGTTCTTGCCCGGTATTCAATCTTGTTTAATTATGACTACAAATTTGCTTGATTCACTTGGATAAAAACGTAACAAGTTCAAGGCTCTC